AAACTAAATATTTAATTTGTAAGTTAAATCTTTAGTTTATAAACTATGACATTTATAAATGTATGAATCATATAGTGAAAAACTGACTTTGAAAAATAAATGTTTTTTTTCTTATAAAAGGTTAAATAAAATATATATCAGTGGTAATTGTTGACTGTGTAACTTTACAAACAGCAGTCCACACTGAGCTCCTGCAGAAACTTACTGGGGAAGACGGAGGCACAAAGTTCCTTGAGCTCCATTTGGGCCTGAAAATGAAAGGAAAAGTAAGAATTTATTTTTAATAAAAGCAGAGCTGTATTTTATCATACTTTAAAAGAGAAATAAATAGTGTTAATGATTAAAAGCCGTTGGTGCTGACAGGGTAATGGGTAATTTCCAAGGTGAAAGCTGTGGAGGAGGGAGGAGTTACCGTTTGGACTTTTTTCCTGTTGGCCTCCCGGGCTCGGTGCCTCTGCAGCAGCTCCTTCACCGTGGTCTTCACACGGACGCCCTGGTACACCCTGGGTTTTTCTGTGTACAAATACAACCAACCTGTCAGTCCTGTTTCACAAACACGAACAGATTCACCTTAAAACCCGCAGATAAGCTCACATTTTCCTTTTACAGATTAAAATCAGATCTTTTCTTTCTGTTTCTGTTTGGTTCAGACAAACATTTCTCTGTTTGTTTCTGTTTCTTTTAATAAATCTAGTTAATGAAGAATCCCTTCAGAAACACGTTCTTGTATTTTAGTGTTTTAGCCCGCAGGAAGGGTTTGAATCATTTTTTCTGTCGCCGCCGGCTGCGCGTAAAGGCGCAGCCTCGGAGCCCGGGGCGCGCAGCGGCACGCCGCGGCTCCGGGTGGATCCTGGCCGCAGAACCTCCCAGCGCTCCCGGCTGGGACCACGGGGGTCTGGGCGCGTCCCTCCACTCCCCCCTCTCTGTTTGCGGACTCTGTGCGTGCAGCGTGTCCGCGCTGTGGCAGCTCGCCGTGCGCCTTTGCGCGCACCAGGAAGAAACCAACCGCGCGACAGTAAGTGGATTTCTGCTCCTAAAGGTTTCGGTTTGTATCTTTAGTCGGATGTTTGCTGATGAAAATGCACCTCGGAGTTAAAATGCATCATTTGGTGACGTGGGTTACTGTCGCTCCGTGGGAAAGAACAAACAAAAAAAGGTTAAAAAGTGTCATTAAGCGCAGCCAAGAGATAAAATAAAAGTGTTATAAAGTGAACTCCTCTGATGTTTGTGTGTAAATCAGCTGCGGTGTGAAGTTGATTTAAAGCAGCGCCTCCTCTGTCTCCTCATTAACATCTGCTTCTAAACTCTGCTCCACTTTCTGTTGTTCCATTCAAATCAGCCCTGGCCCATCTCTGAATGTGTGACAGCCGAGCCGAACCGAGCCGAGCCGAACCGAGCCGAGCCGAGCGGCAATTATCTGTTTCATTTCATCTTCTTATGGAGCTTAAATGAGCTCCTTGTAAAAGTTTATAGTTTTATTTTACTGTGAACTGAACAGAAGAAGGTTCAGCTTTAAAAACTCATCTGATAAATATTCAAACAGTTCGATGCAAATGTGCAGAAATGTGTTAAATGTGTTAAATGTGCAGAAATGTGTTAAATGTGCAGAAATGTGTTAAATGTGCAGAAATGTGTTAAATGTGCAGAAATGTGTTAAATGTGCAGNTGTGTTAAATGTGCAGAAATGTGTTAAATGTGCAGAAATGTGTTAAATGTGCAGAAATGTGTTAAATGTGCAGAAATGTGTTAAATGTGCAGAAACAGTGAGCTGAGATCCTGAACAGACACATCCCACTCACACGCATCTGTTACGCACCAGCAGCAAAGTCTTAAATCTACCGTCCAGGAGCAGAACACCTGGATCCAAAATGTCTGCAGACATTAAGGTCGTGCAGAACTCAGCAGAACCAAACGGTTTGTAAAGTCATCTGCAGTCTGGGAGGCTCACAGGACTTCCACTGACCGCACTGAGCAGAGCCACAAACACTCAGCACAACACTGGGACCTTTCATCATAAACTTTATTTTCACTCTTTCTCTTTTTATCTGTGTTTTTAATAGATTTGGGGGAAATGAGCTTTTAGAAACAAATTAAAAAGCCCACATTCCCCCTCTGACTGCTGGGTGCTTTCACTTTTTCTCTTCAAAGGAGAAATAAATTATATTTGCATTTCTTTCTGTCTTTTTTTCCTATAACAGAGACTAAAACCCTAAAAAAAAAACCCTGTTTTTTCCTCCCCAGATGAAAATCCGAAGTGAAACTCACCAGACATGATGGCTGAGAGGAGCAGTGGATCCTGAGGGAGACCTTTGGAACTCCACAACCGTCTTTTCTGCCTCAGCAAAAATGGCCAAGAATGAAAATTGAGCAAAAGTCTCCAAAAAACAGAAAGCAGAAGGCTTCCAGCTGGATCAGAGCATACAACAATATTGTAATATAGCTGGGAACATATTAAATAGAGCTTTTCTCCCTCCATGCCTACTATTTAAAACCCCTAGAACTCAATGATTTGACAATGATTTGATTGCGCGTTACTTACAATTTGAATATTCAGAAGCAACTCTTAAAAATCGATTTTTCAGTCAAAATGACCACGCTGGGACTTTGTAAAAGCCCTGTTTTAATATATTATATTATTATTTTATAGTTTATCCAGAAAAAAACACACTTTTATGGATTTTATGCATCTTTTGACACATGGCAGCATCAGAGCCCTGATTAAAGCCTGCAGCTCCAGGAGCCTGTTCTGTGCAGCTTTAAAGCAGGTTTTATCCTCAAACCTGTCATCACACATATGTAGTTATTCTGCAGCCTGTTCAGCTGACTGTAAACATTTTGTAACGTTTTAAAAAGAATAAAAGGCATAAAAGTGAGTTAGGGGGCGTGGCAAAGAGCAGCAGCCATCTTTGCCATGGCAGGCCTTCAGGTGCAGCAGGAGCTGCTTCAACCCGGAAGGAAACTCAGCTTTTTTTAAAAACTTCAGAAATATTAATATTAATATTAATAATAATAATAATTTCATAATTTCTTTTTAATTTACTCCACGAAACAGTGACTTTATTTTTGATCAAATAAACCACTTAATTGGCCATTTTTGAACTGGTTTCATTAATCATTTTTGTTTCAAAGGATTAAAATTAACAAAAATAAAAAAATAAAAAATAATTAAATAATCAATTTCGGTGTTTAATAGCACAGTTAAATGAAATATAATATTCTGAACATAGATTTATTTGGTAAAATAAACAATTTAAATATCTTCTATAGTTTATGTATCATTTATTTAATCAGCTTGAATAATTATTTTAACCCAGGCAGCTCAGAACTGACCGGCTCTGTTTTTCTCTGAAATGTTTCAATCATAAAGACAGTTTCTGTGCAACAGGCTGCATTTTAATGACATCATCACTCAGTAAAACATTAAAAACAACAAACACTTTTACTTGTTAAATCACGTGTCTTTAATTCACTTAAAGCTATTTAAAAACGCGTGTCTCCCAGAGTCCTTCTGAAGGTTTCCAGTCTTTGTTCCGCTCTGTCCTCCCTGCTGCTGCCCTCAGCTTCAGCCTGTCTCTGCTGCAGGGAGCGGCTGCCACCTGCTGGTCAACACCGGAACTGTTCAGGATCCAGAACCACGAGCAGAAAATTAGGATGTACAGCATGTAGT